CGATTTCAAAAATTTATATTTTAAAAAATTACACGCAGAAAATTATAATTCAAACACTAATGTAACGGGAAAATGTATGAGTTTTTGTTTACAAGTGTTCAATATGACTTCCTTTCGTTACACGTATGATATCATTGCGATATGAAAGTTCTTGCCAAACACGGTGTAATGTGTCTCTGGTAATTGTTTGTACAGCATCACAAATGCGTTTTTTCAGTTCATTTACACTTGTAGGTGAAGGTGGTACAAAGACAAGATCCTTCACAAATCCCCAAAGGAAGAAGTTGCATGGGGTTAGGTCGGGTGATCTCGGAGGCCAACTGCGTAGAACCATATTATCGGATGAATTGCGACCAATCTAACGGTTTGGTAGTTCCGTGTTAAGAAAATTCCGAACCTCCAAGTGCCAATCGGGTAAAAAGTAAAACTCGCACATTTTCCCGTTATATTCGTGTTTGAATTATAATTTTCTGCGTGTAATTTTTTAAAATATAAATTTTTGAAATCGGATGATTCTTTCCGGGGAACCCTGTACTTTTAACGCGGAACACGAATAATTACCATTTCAAGGGTATAGAAAACCAACGCGGTGCGACTACACTCGCGCAGCAGAGAAACGTACAGTACGTAAAAAGAGTATCCGAGGTTTGCACAAAGAAACGCGAACTACTTATTCGTTGGACAAAATTTATTTTGCTCTATCAGAATTGGTCCCATCCGAGGCAATGAACATATTCCAGCGGTTCTTCCAGTATTCGAAACATTTTTCAAACGCTGAAGAAGGTACAGCCACCGACTTCTTCGGCGAATTCTCTATTAACCGTTTGAGTCCCAGGGGTCGAATTCAGAAAACACGGTCGAAAAGTGGCGAACAGCGCAATAGCGCTTGTCTTAACCCGAAAAAGATAACCTACGTCGCAGAGGCGGCTGCGAAATAAACAACTGACTGCACCGTGGATGACGCAAAGACTGGAAGCACCCACTTTGCCAAGGCATGTGCGAAGCAACATTGAAAATATTCTTCCAAAATCTGCTGTACAGGCTTCCACAGATGATGAAGAAGAACCCTCAGCCAAAAAAAGGCGTTATTGCAGTCTTTGCACGTCTAAAAAGAAAAGAATGTCAAAGATGACCTGTGCCAAATGCAAAAAGACAGTTTGTGGTGAACACAAGAAAGACGTTTGTCATGACTGTCTCTAAAGAAATTTTTTATAATATTATAGTTTTTTTACACTGATTATATTATAGTCTACTAGTTTGTAAGGATAAAACACTATTTTTTGTGATATTTTACGGGATTTGTTCCCATAAACCGAAGACTGTTGATTTTTGTTAATTTTTCATAGAGGTCTAGTGATTTAAGTTTAAAATTACTTAAAATATAAAAAAATATAATATAAATGCATTTTATTTTTACAATAATGCCAAACCTTTAAAATGACTAGATTAACTTAAATAAATATCCATTGTTAGTATAAAATTGACGCCTTAGAAAAGCATGCGCCTCTGAAGCGTATGGTTATCTTTTACGTA